CTGTATTTATTAATTAATTCCCACCATTTACTCATATCTTTGGCATTATTTATTTCCTTTTTCTTATTTTCCCACCACTCTTCTTTTGCTATTCTTACGGTCTCGTTATATATCCTTTTTGCTTCAATAAAGTCTATTTTTTAGCTTTTATTATTGCTATCTTTTTCATTTGTTAGTTTTTTAAGTGCTTTCCATACTTCTTCTCTTTTTAATTTACACTCGTTGTTGAACCACTCCTTTTTTGTTTTATCTGCTTTATCACACTCTTTTCTTTTTTTGCTCATCCCTGTTTCTTTGGCTCCATTATATATTATTTCCTTCATATCGTTCCACTCTAACTCCGTTTCTCTTTCCGTTATTTTTTCATTCCATTTTTCCCATATGACTTCTTGGTATTCCGCAATTTTGTCCTTCTTCCACCCTAATATGTCCTCCTCGATTTTTATTGCCCCTTCTTCTTGAGCTATGTGGTCACTTTCGCTCCCTTGTCTTTTTGCTCCTGCTTTTGCCTTATCTTTTTCGTTTAAATTGAGAATTAATGGCAGGTGGTCTGAATCTATGCTTTCGGATATTTTTAAATAGCTGATACCTGAGTCACCTCCTCTATCCAGTGTCAGCACTAAGTCTAATACCGACCCACAGTTTTCGCTCTTTCCTCCTATAAATGTTATTTCTCCCTTTCTGTCGCCTTCTGTTCCTCCATTCATTATTCTTAGCCCCAGTTCCTTGCACACCTTGAGTAGCTTTTTCCCCTCTGAATTTAACACTTTGTCCTTCGATTTTCTTTTTAGTCTCTCTTCTTCTTTTACCCCTTCTGTATTTCTTTCCCCTACTCTAGCATTTAAATCTCCAACTATTATTATTTTCTCCGCTGTTCTCGCATTTTCTTCCACCACCCCCTTTAATTCTGACTCTATTTTTTTTATCCCTACGTTATTATACACTGATATTATCATAGCCTCTGTGTCATTTCTGTTTTCATTTTCTTTTGCTATTTTAAAGCCATATCCCCATTCGTTTACTCGCCATTTTTTCTCCACTCTTTTTTTAATTCCAAGTAAGTGACCCCCACTAGCTCTTCCTCTAGATTTACTATTTTTTTTATCGCATCTATTGCCCACCATTTGAAATTTTTGCTTAACCGTTCTATCGTTTTCTCTCTGTTTTTTTTTCTACCCATGTTTCTACTAAAATTATAATCTCATACTTCTCTATTCTATTATTTAATTCACTTATTTCTTTCATACCTGCTATATTCCAAAAAAATATCATGCACTCTCCCCTATTATAATTTTCTCTACTCACACATTCCTCTCCCCACTCGTTTTGTTATATTTTATTTGCCACATCCTCTAATTTTCCAGTTTCCTCGCTCCACTGCTGCCATACTTCGTTTACACAAAGTTTCATGTAGCTCCTTCTTGTCTTAGCTTCTTTCTCAATCTGGATTTGCTCCAAATTTCTTAGCCAGGCTGTCACTTCTTGCTCCCTTTCAGTGAAATCATCGTCCAGGAAGATGTCTGTTCCCTTTAGGCTGGCTCTGTTTTTTATGAAATCCAGCTTTTCCTCAACGCTCCCAAAAAAAAACAATTATTAGATTATTTGTATAAATTCTATATTTATTAATATTTAATTTGACTTTTAACCTCTCTTCAATAATATTTATTACCTGCTGGTTGTCAATTAGCCTATGCCTAATACATACATTGCTTCTCCTTCTCTTCCTCTTTGCCTTCTCCTGAATCCATTTCTCTGTTGACAGCTTCCTGGGCTCCTTCCACTCCCTTGAAAATTTCCCGCGTTGTCTACCGCCACTCGTCTGCGCCGTTGCGCTCACGCTGCCTGCCTGTCAGCTCGCCATTCTTCTATTCGCCTCTATCTGCCTCATTGCGCCTGCGCCTGCATTCTCCGTGACTCTTGCTGATTCCCCTGCATTTACTGCCGAGTTGATCTGTGTGGGTATTTGATTCAACTGACTCTGCTTTTCCCGCGCTTCATCAATGACGTAGTCCTCGTTTCTGAATTTCTTTTCTCCCCACGGTGTTCTGTTAATATTTGTTGCATTTTTTGCATTACCTGCAACCGACTTTTCACTATTTTTTTCTATCTCTTTTTCCCATCTTCTTTTCACCTCTTGATAGTCACTTTCCGCTTTCCAGCATCTTTTTAATAGTTCACTTCTTTCTTTCTCCCACATCCTTTGTTGCATTTAAAATTGACGTTTTAGTTCGCTGTTCTCCTCTTTGTTCTTTTGGCACTGTTCACATACACTATTATTATTTCTTACAGCTTCCACCTCTTTTTTTATATTATCTTGTACTAGATTAACTTCCTCCATTATTTTATTGTTCATTACCTCCCAGTTACTGCACATCCTTTTCTCAAGGTCTTTAATTTCTTTTTCTGCTCGCGCTCTCACTGTTTCCTCTATCGTTTGATGCAGCTCTCTGTCCTTTTTTAACTTTTTGATTACCCCTTTTTCAATTTGTTCAATCATTTCTCTTCCTTTGCACTCGTTTAACCCTTTCTTAGTGAGGCTGTCTTCGCTTATTAATTCCCCATCTTTGTCCCTCTTCTCTTCCTCTTCATTACTCATCTCTATCACCTGTTCAATAATTGTTTTTTCAAGATCACTGTCTTCAAATTCCTCTAGGCTGCTGATACTGATGTTTAGCAGCTCCTCTGCATTTTCATCCTTTTTATCATCTCTTGCCTTATCATCGTTAACCACTTCATTTTTCTTGGCTACCTCGTCTTTCTTTTTCTCAATCCACTTTTCCATCTCTGTTTTTTCGCCTTTCTCCTGTTGACGCATCTGCTGACTTGCTCCTTGTTCTGTACTGCCCTACTATACTTCTGTTCTAACCTCTCTTTTTGCCGGCTTGATTTGCGTTCAATTAATTTAACCACTATCTATTTTCGCTTAAAGAAAATTTTTAATTTAACAATGCCACTAATTTTATTGACTCAATTCACTTTTGTTATAATTTTTTTTTCACTTTTTTATACCAAAATCTAATTTTTACTATTCGCAGTCCAATTCTGAGATAATATTAAATTTATTAATCAAAATGAAGTTGAAATAGTTGTAATATGCGAATATTGCATTGCGTATTGAGATCACAACTGATTGGCGGAGGTATTTAATTAACTTGTGATTATTTGTAATCATGTGTTTTGATCAGTTCTTATTGATTCCAATAAATTCACCTTGATTGAAATCTATGACATGTTTTAAACTAGGGTAAGTGTGGGTATTACTGCAGATTTTTTTATTCCAATGATAAATAAATGGTACTTGAGCTTTTTAAACTAAAAAAAATTGTTGCTAATAATTGAAATCTTCAAGAACATATTCGCACAGTAGTTTTACACGTACAACAATTATTCAATTTGTTATTAATAAATTAAAATTAACTGGCTATGCAGGTAGTAAACTATAGCTTTTTTGTGAGTTTCCGTACGTACAGAGGTGATACAAAAAGATCTTTTTCTTTACATAAAATGGTTCAAATTTAATATTTTTTGCATATAAAAGTAAGATAACCCTTCTTCAATATCAGTCATGTATTAAAAATTGAATTTTGATCAATTAATATTGTTTATTTAAGGGCGCAGTAATAGGTACCAATAAACTCAACATGTTTGTATCACTGCGAATGTTTTCAATAACCCAGGAAAAAATGATCAGACCTGACCATGCCTGTTCATGTATGATCAGGCCTGAAATTAGACCTGATCATGCATGTTCATGTATGATCAGGCCTGAAATTAGACAAGATCATGCCTGTTCATGTCTGCTCATGTCTGAAGCATCAAATACGCTCAGACCTGTTCATGTCTGACGGGTTAAATACGCTCAGGTCTGATCAGGCCTGTTCATGTCTAATCAGACCTGTTCATGTCTGAAGCGTTAAATACGCTCAGGTCTGATCATACCTGATTAGGCCTGTTCATGTCTGAAGGGTTAAATACGCTCATGTCTGTTCATGTCTGATAAGGCCTGTCCATGCCTGTTCATGTTTGAAGCATTAAATATGCTCAGGCCTGTTCATGGCTGTCCATGCCTAGAAAAAATAATTAAAATTACCCTACGGTAGGTTTTTAATGATAATCAAAATACTTTTATTTATTGAATAATAAAATATACCGTTTATTGATGATTTACAAATTTATTAATCGAAATTAATGTACATACACTGAACATATTCAAAAATTTTTTCTTAGCATATTTGGTCCTTAGCATGAATAGGCATTGACAGGTATGATCGGGCCTGAGCGTATTTAACGCTTCAGACATGAACAGGGATGAACAGATATGAACAGGTATGATCAGGCCTGTGCGTATTTAAAGCTTCAGACATGAACAGGGATGAACAGACATGGACAGGTATGATCAGGCCTGAGCGTATTTAACACTTCAGACATGAACAGGGATGAACAGACATGGACAGGTATGATCAGGCCTGAGCGTATTTAACACTTCAGATATGGACAGGCATGACCATGCCTAATTTCAGGCCTGATCATACATGAACAGACATGGTCAAGTCTGTTCTTTTTTTCCGGGTAGATCTGATCAGACTTGCATAGTCAGAGATGTGATAAAAATTTTTTCTTTGACGAAAAAAATTCTTTTAGTCATCACAAAAAGTGCAAAATTATTTTTATCATTACGTTTAAATAATTTCGAAATAAAAAATTTGTTACATTTCCTATTGGATGTTTCAGTCTGCTCTGCTTCTGCCTAGTATTAAAATTATTACTTATTTTATTATTTAAACAAATGTGATGTTATAATGAGATTCGGTTAAATAAATAAATTAGGACTATCAAAATATATTATAAAATCAATTTTTATATTATATTTATGATAAACTTATTCGATACGTTATGTACTTCATAGATTTGTTATCACGTAAGATAGCAGCACAGCAGGCGGAAACTTCAAGGCGCACGGATATCACCAAAGTTAAACAGCATTGAGCGTGGTTAGTAGTTGGATGGGTGACTGCTGGTGTTACAGCCGTACAATTATAAGTAATCATTTTTTTTTTATTTTAATTCATTATAGAGAATTGCGTATGACTCTATCAAATACTATATCCATAAAATTAGGCAAAATAATTAATTAAAAGTAACAATGGGCTTTCAGACCTGACCATGTCTGATCAGGCCTGATCAGGTCAATTCATATCTGATCAGGCATGGTCATTTTTTATGTCTGATCAGGCCTGAAGACTCATGTCTGATCATTTTTTCCCGGGAATCCGCAGTAATAGAAGCACCTCTATTTGTATGCATTTATACCAATTACTGCGGATGTAAAATACATTTATTCTAACCTAAAAAGAAAATATTACCTGTCAAGTTGCCTGTAAATTGCTCTTAGTTAAAAATAAATAATCTTTAAAATTAATTATCAACAGAAAATTGATAAAACAAATAAATTGAAGTTGATTAAAAATACACGCGGTAATTATAATAAAGAATATTGTTATGTGAAATTAAGCAGTGAAACTTTCAAACTAAGAAATTTCCATTAAATTAAGTGAATGTAACTTCAAACATATTCAAAAAATTTTTTTGATTGATTTAAAAAAATTCAAAATGATTTTTTTCAATCAAGATCTGTTTTTTCTGCCCTCCGGCCGGAAAGTGGCAACTTTCTGGCCGCTGCGCTAAACAAAGTTGCCACATTCCGGCTACGTCGAGCAGAAAAATAGTATACACACCTTGGCCAGTAAAAAGTAAAGCCTCAGATCACATGTTTGTCAACCTCGGCTTCGCCTCGGCCAACAATTACATGTGATCTGAGACTTTTCTTATTTTACTGGCCTAGGTATGTAATATACTATTCTCCGAGCAAGTTCATTTTTTAATTACTATAAAGACTCTGCTTATTATGTTATACATCACTGGAATAGTCATTATTTTTTATTTAGACATGCTATGTTAAACTATCATGTTTAGTGATATGAATTCAAATTATTTGAAGAATACGTTTTTCTAATCAAGTCACTTTATTTAACAAATACCTAATTAGGTATCTTTCAAACGTATTTTATTCATTTTTTATATGATCCCGAAGTTGTTTGTCATTGAATTTCAGCCGCAGTAATAGACACGCAGTAATTGGGTCATTCGCAGTAATTGTCACGCAGTAATAGGGACAAGCTCCTTTTATACCCGCAGTAATACATGCATATGACTTTTTTTTGAAATGCTTATTATTTAAAGAAAATATCAGTTTATTGCATTCTTGATTTTTTTTTGAGTCAATAATGAGTCAAACTTTGGTTAAAAAAAAAAATTATTGTTGTTTTTGAAAAATTCAATGAAAATGCTTCTGAAGTAAAACTTACAGAAAAAACCGCAGCAATACCCACACTTACCCTACAACAGTTCGTCGATCGCCCGACTTTTTTAGAAAAGGCATGAACTACATTTGTGAATTATTACTTATTACTTATTATTTATATTACTTATTAGGTATCGTTATTATAAGTAAACATTAACACCACCATTATTATTCAGAAATTTACGAATTGTTTCATGATATTTTATCAAGAATGTAAGTAAAAAGACTTTTACAGAAAATTCAATTTTTTATTTTCTGTTAACAATATTTTACAATTGAATTGTATTTACACACACTTACAACCCGAGTAAAAAAGATTTTATATAATTAGATACCATTATGTATAAATTATATATAATTATATAAAAAATGGCCCGATAAAATTGAATAGAAATGGTATATAATTGTATAAAATTATATAGAATTATATATAATTATTTCCATAGAAATAAAAATATCTGGCGTGGGCAGGGATCGAACCTGAGACCTGACGCTTGGAAGACTGATTCACTACCTGTTTACCTACTAGACTTACTTGAAGTTCAGAGTTTGTAATAACTATAAGTACTCAAAATCGTATACATGATCGATTCGTGATGAACAAAATTTTTAATGTAATTTATAAATTATTCATTATTAATATATATGTGTATATAATAATGATATCTATGTGTAGATTTATAAAATTATCTATGTATAACTAAAATCGTAAAAATGATTCTAAGAAATTTTTAAGGTACCTTAACACGTGTTCCGTTGCTTTAGAATCTATAATTACTTTAAAATTAAAAAAATAATAGA